TGCAAAACCGGTTCTGCGATGGCTTTGTCCCCTGCCGCTATCCCATCGAGCTTGTCTTGCATGAAAGCTCTTCCCACACGCATGTCGTTCGCACGGCTGTTAGCCCAACAAATTCCTTGATACAACATGTCAGCGCTTTCATTCTCGTCACTGTCGTCAATCCTCAGCACCTCATTCCCGCTTATTTTGATGGTGATTTTCTTGATGATGGCACGACCCAGTTTGCGCACGATCGTGAGTTTGTCGTTCGTGGACTCCAAAGTGATGTGAAAAGCCAGTCGAGCCGTGCCGGGGTTGATGATGTTGTTTGCGCCCAGGTTGGGGAATCGAACCAGCAGCGTTTGGTTTTGAACGATCGTGCTCGGATTGTTGGTGATGCTCACCGACTGATGAACGGCTTTAACACCAAGGGGTTCTCTCGATCTTCGGAAAGGATCTAGCTTTCGTCCGTATTGCAACATTGTTTATATTGAAACTATGTATATTATAAGTTTAATATATAAAAAAATGGCTGACGATATTCCCATGGACCATTTCGACGTACACCAGCTGAATGATGATGATGCAGCAGCCATGCACCGTGGGCAACAAGCTTTTAAAGCAGGCTGTGGACGAGTATCACGATGCTTTAAAGCTCGATAAACATTATGTCTAACCATTGGGTCGTGACTATCCAAAGTTCAAAATCGACAACGAAGGGACGCTGCGATTGAAAGCTCATCCGGAGGTCAATCTCATGAACAAACACACAAAAAAACACTCGCCCTGTCGACGCTAGCCAGTCGCTGTGGCTGTAGTCAACTGATCCGCGACGAACTAAACCTGCGAGATTAAGGCGTGGCACAACCCAAACAACTGTCCGAGATCTGCAAAACGTAAGGACTGAACTCTATGGTGCCGTCGCTGCCGATCCGCGAGAAATGCCTCAGCGCGCCAAAGAAGCGTCTGACGAAATATTGGTCATGTACTCGAACGAACCCTTGCCCAGTTTTGAATTTCCTCTTAGGGAACTTCAGGGTCTAGACAAAGCCTTGAAAAACGTGTGCGGAGAACTCGTGAACAACATGGGTAAACTGAACTAAATCGACAAGCACATCGCTCGCGATAAAAGAAACCTCAGAAAACGACCACGAAGCCATGAAAAACATCATCGAGAAAAGATTGCGAGACCTGGAAGATGAGAGACGGACCAGATTGGAAGCTTCTGCCTCCAACTGGGAAGCCCTCCGATCACAAATCAGTCGCGTGCGCAAAACCATCAACCGAGTCTTGAATGAGGACACCACGTTGGCCGACAGGATCCGAATTCTGTTCCGGGAACAAGGAATCACCATCACCAGCATTCTCACGGCTTTGGGCTTCATCATATCGAAACTGGTCATATCGCTGACGGGCGGTAGTGGTACACCACCAACACCAACAAGCCCATCATCAGGCGACGACGTCAGACACTAAAAAAACATTTGAAATCTCTCGGCGAAGCCCTGGCTAAACTGGCCGGCACAGCTGCCGAAGCGCTGCCTGGTATCTTGTGCAGCATCGTTTCCTGGTTGTTAGGCTTCTTGTCAAAACCATCATGTGGCTCAATCAAAACCTGTGGGCTTTCATCGTCGCTGTGGCGGGCCTGGTGTACGTCGCAGCTAAGAAGTTTTTAACCAAATGAGGCACAGACCGACCCGATCCCCCAGACCACCAACGCCATTTTGTGACTGACGTGCTGCTGATTGTGTGCCTGCACGTGCAGGGGCAGCTGCTGCTGTTGTTGGCGTGGTGCTGCTACTTCTACTTCCGGTGTCAGTGCCACGATATATAGTATACATATCTACTTTTTCAATATGTACGTGAAGCTTTCTGGGAATCACGAGCGACGAGTCCATTCAACTGCTGCACACGATCGATAACACGTCCAGTCACGCTATGCGACATCACCTACTACCCAGGATGGACCAACATCAATGGTAGAAACAAAAGGCTGTTCGTCAATAACGCCAAATAAAGGATGGCTACTACAGCGTGTGCTCGCTCAACGAAGAAATCTTCAAATCTATGGGAGCTGAACTCAAAATGAACGACTCGAATGGCATGGTCATGCTAGCCAACAACGGAAAAAATACTTTGAGACTCAGTCGGCAGTTGAATAAAACGCTCGATTTGACATCGAACGACATACCACCGAAAACCAACGTGACCGGCACAAAATTACCCGATCTCGTTCCGTATTGCAAACTGTGCATTCATCTCGATCAGCTGAACACGACCGACAACGTTCAAGGTGAACGACCTTCCACACTGCTGAGAGCCGTCCTGGTGAAAATGGAAAAGAACAACGACGGTGGAACTGAATCGTTTTTGTCGCGGCATTACAAGAAATTAATCCGAGGCAACATAACAGAATTGAAAATATCGGTTTTAGACATTAAACACTATCCCGTAGGTATAAGATATCTAACATGTCACATGCATGTGCAAAATTTGAAAGAATTCGATTGAAAAGTTTAGAAGATATTGTTGTCCTAAACTTCAAGATCGAATTTATCAAAAATAGGTTTTTTGTGACTTAGTACACTCTGGTTTTCAGGCGACAAAAGATCACTACCTGACAAAAGTCATGAACAACGGAACGCTGCTCGTGGCTTACGTCCGTACACAAACACGCACTGTTATCGTCGTTGAGGCAAAGAATAGCCCACATGCTGTCGAGCAAACCCGGGATGCAAAACATGGGATTGCAGATGGTGTCGGAATTCGACAGTGTGGTAAACGTCCTGGAAAATCTGCCGGCAAAATCCACGCTGTACATCCAAGTCTACCTCGGCGAACCGCCGTCGGCGTGTAACGTCGTCGAAATCGTGAAAGGGATCAAACTCCGCTGGGCCAAACAGTAACAATACCAAGTTTGCTCCGTTTATGTGCAGGTGAACGTTAACACCTACACCAGTCTGCAGGGAGTCACTGTGACAAAATTTTCTTCTACTCGACAACATACGTCTCATGGGTTTGAAGTGCACGTCCGGGAAATTATCCGATAACAAATTGAAAACCATTTCGTAATACATTATATATAATGAGATGAACCATCATCATTTCAGCGTCACGCTAGCTGAGCTCGGGGACACGCGGGGATTCGATCTACCCGGCGAGGAAAACGCCTTGTACGCCATGCGCTTCCAAGATAACGTGTACAAACGACGAGAAGTCATCATCGAATCTCAGTTGAACTGGATTATTTACCCGGTCCTGACCTACCCCTATCTTATCATAGATAATAATGATGGTGTCGTCTAAAAAATAACAGGATACTGCTGGGGAGGTTTGATCCTGGAAAAAGAATGTGGATAAACGTAGCGCCATTACCAGATCAAACGGCTAACATCTTAGTTCCCAATGAGAAAAAAGCAGTGTTATTTTTAGTAAAATATACTGATGTGCCAGACTCGTGGCTCAGTATGATACAAGGTTCTACTCTTATTATCAAAGTATTTCTTGGAGATGCACCCGGAGTAGATATAAGCCTTCTGCATGGGTTAAAAATACGTTGGCATGATCACCATCAACAAAAACGTTGTCGTATTTGTATACAACCAGGAGAACCCCCACCGCAAATCTAGATATTATGATATTTCAAAAGGATTTTATTTAACTCTAGACCGTTTATATATACGAAAACTTGTACCTCATCAGCTTAAAGTATATTCATCAAACATTGACTGAGGACCAATTAAATACTATTTTATAAAAAGTCTATATATACAGAATGGGACTGTACCCGGTCGTGGATGAAGTGGAGAAAACACTGGAAACCATAGACGGGTTTCGTTTTGCGACAGATATGCGAGATCAAACAACAACTAGAACGTGAACGCGATACGTGGTCGGCATTACAGAAAAAATATCACAGGGCCATCAATTCCGTGGACGGTGTTGACAGCGCTCTGGTTTCAGTCAGCATGGGATTAGGTGTAGCAGGTATCAGGTTACTATCCACCATCATGGCCGCACTCCTGGTGCTAGGTATCGAAATAACAGCCGGCGTGGCAGGGGTGATTGGATTGACCCTTAAGTTCGTGTCTCGCAGACTGCAACGTAAAGCATTGAAACACGCCAAAATTAGAATTCTCACCGAAGCGAAGTTAAACACGATAGGCGATCATATTTCCACCGCGCTCACCGACTCTAAAATCTCTGAAGAAGAGTTTCATTTGGTGCTATCAGAAATAGCAATATATCACAGAATGAAACAAGAGATTCGGGCCAAGTCTCATAAAAACGCCGTCATTTGCGAAGACGAGAAAAAACATTTCATAGAACAAGGGAAGCAACAGGCCCGACAAGTCTTCATTACGACAACCAAACAAATCATAGGAGATTCACAATAAACTTTTTCGCAATAAACTGTTATCGCCTAGATAATATATGACAAGTACGACAATGCGTTGGAGTGTTAGCCTTTCACCAGACCGACACCATGCTCACTAAAAAGTGATTATTTCCTAAATCAATTTAAAAATTGAGCCCTTGAGGGGGACCTGGTCCCGTAGCCCCATGGGGTTAGGGATTAGGGACTTCTCAAGGGCCCTAAATGATAGGAGATTCCCTGGAGAGGAGCTGCTCCCGTAGCCCCATTGTGTATACTACTAGTCCAATAAATGATAAAACTCACTGAAAATTGGCGAATTCATAACAACATTTTACACCCCAAAACGCATCTGTTCTGATGCACGATATTTGCACATGCTTTTCAGCAATTTGATGCATGATCCTCGTGCAATTCATCTGCATACGGTTTGCACTTGGCTTCCCCAAGTTAGTGGAGAAATCAGTCTTCCATGTAACCATATATATACACACCCACAAACACACACACACACACACACACACACACACACACACATAACATATAGTGAGTGTTTTCAGTCAGTCTAAACCTTTGAAGGGAAGTATATGTTTTCTCAAATGAAAGTAGAAACACACGTAAAGCAAAGTAAACAAGAAGAACCTACTGAACACGAAACACGATAGGTACTGCACGTTGTTGCTCGCTGAGATGACTAATACTACAGTGATGAGCAGGTAGTAGTCCGTGATCCAGGTGAGACAGATGCTCAGGAGAACCGAAACAAACACGCAAGCCAAGATGACTCTCCGCCGTCCAAACCTGCAACACGGTACGCAGCAACATTCGTCCATACAAATTGAAATTGGTGGTGTCTATTTGCAGATGTCTACCTAAACTACTTACAAAGAGACCCGTTAAGATCCCGTTTAGAATTTGTCTTCAGCAACCTATGGTGTATGATGTTGATCACTGGTTTGTCTGGTGCAGACTTGATTATGTTCAGACCGACGCCATATAGCTGGAATAATGCGGCGTTGAAGAACCAACCAACCAACCAACTTACAAACAGAACGTATGTTTTTTTGTTTTTTTTATATTATTCCTTACACAAGGGACAGAGAAGTAGAATATCAAACATAGTCAATGCTGTAGTGGCGGGAGAGTACTGAAATCAACTTAAAAAGATTGTGATGATGAAGGATTCGCTGAGGTACTCTAATCGAACTTTAGGCTCCCACAGCAACAAATATGGAGGTACTTACATGTCGGACATGGGTCCACCAATGAGAACTCCAACGAGTTGCCCAACCATGGCCATCATCTTAGCGTGACTCACATACAGCTTCCGGTCACACACAAGGTCCATCTGAAAATAAAAATGTTTGTTTTTTGCTTAACGCTGCATTCAGCAATATTCTTCGGATATGACGGCGGTCTGTAAATAATCAAGTCTGGACCAGACAGCCCAGGATGTACGTCTATCTACCCAATTTGGATACGATCATGGGTAGATGAAGAGAAAGTCTAAGGCTTAATGCAATATAAGTTGCGTGCAGTTCACCACTTGGGAAGTACGCACATGGCTTCAACAGCACAGGGGGTGGTGGGGGAGCCTAGTGGTTAAAGCGATCGCTCGTCTCGCCGAAGACCCCGGTTCGATTCCCCACATTAGTGCAAAGTGTGAGGCCCATTTCTGTGTCCCCGTGATATTGATGGAATAATGCTAATTTTAAGTGGCGTAAAACTAAACTCACTCACTCACTCATCCACCAGCACAGAGACGTTTAATTTTCTTTGTTGTTGTTCGCTGCTTCTTTACGAAGCCCCTGACCCTATCATTTGGAGACGAATCTTGAGGATCGAACATATAATATATAGTTACTTTCATTGTTAACACCTAATGTAATCTTTTTCAGGAGATTATCGAGGCTGAATAAAGTCCCTCGAAACTCAGCGCGCCTTCTGGACAGCGAACACCACGCGCCAACTGCGCACCAGTTGTTGGAACAGTAACAAATGTACACACTTCGAGCCTTTTCCATGATGTTAGAAACAGTATAATTAGGAGATAAACCTACGGTGTGGGAAAATCAGAGGTATATAACGAAACTATAATAGCTCTAAATTGTTCATTTAAACAAACAATTTAGAGCTATTATAATTTCGTTATATACCTCTGATTTTCCTCACAATAGGTTTATCTCCATTCTATGACTATTTTATAAACAATTTCAGGTGGAACTCTTTCTTTGGTTATAGGTCAATACGTGAAGCGGCCTCGCATTCCAATCTCAGGTGGCATCGCCCAAAATGTGGTGATTGGTGGTAGACGTCAATAACTAACAAATTCCAGATTCAGTAATAACAAATCACGTTTGTTTTTCCATGCATTAATCATCGATCATTAACTGATAAGTTGGAAAACATATATCAAATAAGGAAAAGCTTGGTTCAAATTTGAAAATTCCACCGTAGACCCTTTCCCCACCAGAATAATGGCAGCAACCTCGCATGGCCTTGACCTATTCTCGGAAGTCAATTGTTTACATTTACGTTGAATATTGCAAATTTGGAAAGATGCGACAGGAGAACCTCTGACAGTTTGCGCAAAGTTAACCTGATTGTATGACTGAGATAGTCTTTGATATCGAATTTTGGTACTGGTTCAAAATTTAAGAGAAGAAGCGCTTTTGCTGTAACGAGAAGTCCGTCTTGTACCGAATTTAGATACTGTTGAATTTTGCGCCCTGTCAACTTGACGATTTCACTCACCTCTACTGGCTCTACGTCTGCGTGCGATAGCTGTGGTGATGTCCTTACACGCTCATGTGTGTACTTTTGTGCTCAAATTCGATTCTACGGATATTATTTTTTTACATTTTGGAAAGTGTTTTGTTACCTAGTGGCTTCAAAGTGTAGTGAATTCAAAATGAATCGGATTCGCTGGCATGTTCGCGAGGCAGTTGACAAAGAGCGAGATTTGTGGTGATATTTCCGAAAGGATAGAACAGGACATGAGAGTGTACCTCTGGCATAAATACGGTAAGGTAATTAATTATACTTTAATAGACTACTTTAGATCAAGCAGTGTAATGGATAAGAGGGATAAATAAATAAATAAGCTAAATAACTTTTTCAGCGATATTATACTTTTAGAAAAATATATGTTGGGCTAAACAGAACGGTTTGCAGATTCTGTAATTACTACCGCTAAATTCGAAACAGTAAAAATTTCAAAATATCATTTTGTTTGAACTGATAACCCAACTGTTTATTTATGTGGACGGAAGGGATTCAAATTTCTTCTGCGTTCGATGTTAATGCATCCTCCGTTACCGGATCAAGATCAGTGGCGATATCGTTGACGAAAGCTGATAATAAATTTAACACGGAAATTTTGTAGCAGTCTATTGCTGGATGTATTCTGACATAACATAGAATTAACGTAAACATATTTGTTCTTGCTGATTTTTTATTCGGAAAGTAGAGGATGTTTTGATCTTGTTTGACTGAATATTTGTTTCCATGCTTTCGAAGTACTTTTGTATGTATCAACACCTATTGCTGTGAGTTACGCAAGTAGTGAGTCGAGCCCGTCATCGCTAAATCCATCTTTAAAGACATATGTGTAATTTCCGACAGTAAAATCGCCGTAATTTATCGATGCATCGGTAGGTTGTTTGGTGTCCGCCATGTTGGTGGGCAGACAAAAATAGTGCATTACCGTACACCATGTATAATTGCGCACGGAAAATCAGAGACCAGTAAAACGTGATTATATACCTCTGAATGACTTTAATTAACCAATCACAATCCAGTGTTTAGTGAAGTCATGGTAGAATTCAAGTTGAATTACTTACTGTTTGGGCAACAGTCGACTGATACACGCTTTTATCATATGTCCACTTGTGACATGGCTCAGTGACGGTATTCATATCGCGGGATGATGCATTTTCAGACGTTGAATAAATGAAGCATGATGAACGAGGTAGGTCGCCGTTATCATTATCAAGCGGCATTGTCCTGTTGATGAGGTCAGCATGAGCCTCGCTTTGAATCTGGAAGGTATCGTTTTTCATCCCGGGAATAGCACACCTGAAATGCAAAATACAAGGGTTTTCGTCTGGTTTATTGAGGGTGGTCAGGTGTGAACAGATAAGTTAGATCAACCCAAAGGATGTATAAAAAATGCATGTGTGAGTGAGTGAGAACACTGACTTTGTGTGCTGTGCCTCACACTGACAGTTTTTGTGTGAATCCCGCATGGCACTCATCTCCCCCACCACCCCTTCCCCTACCAGAATGTTTCCAATCCTAAATATAACTGGTTAAATCCTATAGATGTTTTGTTTGAATGTTGTTTAAATATAACTGGTTAAATCCTAAAAATGTTTTGTTTGATTGTTGTTTAGCGCAATATGCCAGCAATAATGACGCGGTTCTATTAATAATCGATTCTGGACCAGACAATCCAGTGATCCACAGCATGAGTATGATCTACAAAATCATGACTCGATCTATCCCTGAAAAAGTGAAGTAAACCACAGCCATGGCACACCTTTTTACGCAAACCATGTGAAATTATGGACCAAATTTCAGGGTTATTTATTTCAGGTACAATTTTGAAAGAGCCTTCATGTTAGTCTATGTAGTTGGTCGCCAATACATTTAGCTCTGTGCACTGTGGACAAACACTGAAGAAGTCACTTAAATTTGTCCATTCCGGAGTCCTGAAGAGTTGATTTCTCTGTGGATTTCTTATGAGTAACAGCGTCTCCATAATGTTGCCTAATGGCTTCAAGGTGCATCAGTTAATCGTTTTTGTGATAAACTTACAATATGGTCTCAACATACCCACCTCGGTATCCACTGCATGAAGAACAGTTCACTTCACCATAATAGTTTGGAGGGCATTTCTTCTGCTGAACTTACCTGTGTTCAGGGACAGCAAAGAGAAACACAAAGATGACCATGCCGATGACAGCATTATAAACGGCGGGGAGGCTGAGCAGTATATACAGACGTCTTTGGGAAGGACCAAATTCGCCCACTGTCTCCAGAATGTTGTCAAACTTCATTTTGTTTCCACACAACTCTCACTTGCAATGCCTCATCTGTTAGTACAATGCTATTTTATGCTGCTGCGTCTCGGCACCCCTTTAATAGAAAGAGTCGGAAATGTAGTTGTCAACGAAAGTCTTTACATACATGTACAGATGGTAGACTATCACCATTCAAGGATCCTGTACTGAATGACATACCAGTAATCATTTTAGAAATAGTGAAAAGAAACCTGTTAAGACTTGTTCCTTGAACTCATTTATCCGGACCTAGTTTGCAGACATCGGAGATGGTATCTGTTTGTAGAACCTGAAGGGGCGACTAACAGTAGTCCACGCTAGGAGTTACTTATACTGGACAAACAGCTTTTTCGTCTCCATATCTAATATTACGCAGATGAAAACATTAACATTCACAGTTCTTGTAAGCACTGAATATCAAGCATTTCGGCTTTGGTGATCACCTGTCTGTTTTCAGTAACCGTGCAGCCTGATATATCCACGGTCAGCTTAAGACATACATTTGCAAATGTCTTTAATAAATGACTCTGTCGGATGTCTTTGGATGTTTCTTTATCAATAATAATTTCACTTGTCGCTTATAGTTGCAATGTGCATGGCTGCACTGACACATGGAGGTGTAATGCTACCTGTTCTGAGTGTATGTTACCAGAACACTCATTCATCTGCAGGACATGATTTATTACAAAATGATGTTACCTCCATCCACTTCCGCATACATATATGCAGGGTAATCGCTTATCTAAAATTCTATTCGTACACGATATACGTGCAATAATGCAAAGTGCCACACGTGTCGGTCTACAGAAGAGAGTCGGATGCATGTATAAATTTGACAGTTACATGATCTTGCTCAAGCATAGATTTTATGTGCTGAAATGCATTGGTATCCCGATAGAATAGTGCCAAGAACATCTGCAACTGATACTTCAGCATAACTTTGGATTTTGCAATAAATAAATCCTTCGTTTTAAATGTTTGTCAATACACAAATGTACCTCATGAAGGAATACGAATATACTCGGAGTCCAAAACGTCATGTTTTTCATATTACAGAAGTTGACATCCACAAAACGGGTTACTTATAGTTGCAATTCAACTACTTTATATAGACGACCGTCATTATGTTTTGGACGAGAAATCCGACGTCGTTAGGATTAGATTTGAATCAGTGATATGGGTACATAGTTAACTCTAAGTACGAACTTCCAACTGCATCGTAATAGCCTGCAGACAAACAAGAGCTTTCAACCATTTAGCTTCCAGATTCTTAACAGGCAGAATAAAGTCATAGTTCCCTCAATTTTATTACACAACGTTTTTGTCTTGTAATGTCATTGGCATGTTTAAACACTTAGTCCCACTGACTTTCTCGTATGTTTTGCAAACATGTACGTGATTTTGTTGTGGAGAATGTAGACATCCTCCTGTGGTGATGATTGTCACTGGTGCGTGTACACTATTCAATGTTAACGTTGCGTTGCAAGGAGGATATAGCCAAGTTATATTCATGTGTAATGCTTGTCTGTTGTCCAACGTTAAGGGTGAGTAAATTCACCCTGGGACATGAAAGTTGACAGGCCATGACACCTGGACAGTTTGCAAGGTATCTTGTCAACCGCCCAGCTGCAAACTTACATTCTTCACTCAACATGGCGATGTTGTTTCTACAATGGCTTCTTGTCGTATAGCGATAATGTTTACACGGTGAAATATAACTTCGCTGTGTGTTGGTAGATTCTACACTAATCGAAATATCTCCTCCCTGAACTACATGTAGGCTAAGACTTTGACCTTCATAAGGCAGTGTGTATCGGACGGCGTATGGGCCTCAAAGGGTGTGCAGGCCTAGGATATAGCCGGCATAGGTGTGATGAGATGTTGGCCTATTTTCTCACATGAGAATGGCTTTCCGAACGTCTTTATATCTGTAATATCTTTATATCTGTAATAGCTGCAACTCTGAAAGGCATAGTCGTTCATGTGAAAACGTTCCCCGATGTTCTGGTCTCGTGGTCACGGTGTCACGTGAGTTTCATTTTGGTGCCCTGAACCGGATCCCCACATGGATAAAAAGGAGCGCAGAAATCTTTTTGATCAGTCAGATTGAATCAGATTGACCCTTGCTAGGTTTTCAACCCTTTTCTTATAATGGCTGGAATGACCTCTTTGGTCGACGAGACAGGTTATTTTCCTGTCAATAGTCGCTGATGTTCAACGTTAATCCGGTTTGAAGATGTAAGGAGATCCAGCAAAGTGTTAGCCGCGGGTAAATCGGGTGTCGGTTTATATCAAGATAAAATGAAAATAGCTGTGAAGGACACTGATGTACACGTTAAATGAGACGAAAACTGAAAGGATTTAGGGCAACGGGAGGATACTGCTCATATGTACAAGAAGGAAACGAAAGGGAATTTTTTAAATGCAACGACATATATGTACAGGCCCGGCCAAATGTATTCAGTGACTGGAAACTGGCAGACATATTTCACAGAAATTATATGAACAGAATACAATCTCGTTATGATGTGTCAATGAAATAAAAATGTACAAAAAACATATAGTTGGAGGATTATTATTTGCAGGTACCCTTAAAGGCAAGCCCAAAGGTTGTAAAAATGCTTATGGCCAGCGGGTGAAAAGAAGGTCAAACATTACCCAAGATACGACTATTAGGGGTCCAGTTATTCATCATCAGTATTTGTTCCTTTGTAGCAACAAGTAGACAGGGATGTTCAAGTAGGGACAACAGTTAAACAATAATGTTCCCTTGGAAAGGATAGCCAGTGGATAGTGCAGGTTTCAGAAGAAAAAGGTAATGTTCTATTTACGGAGTTATAATGAAAACAACCGACAAAGAAGTGAACGTCAGGACAGCATGATATGTTATCCAACATGGACATCTGATTTTGACATTACCAATAGGCCGAACAGAGAAGAAACTGATACACAGACTATACGGATTATACAGATTTCACTAGGAGCTTTAGTCGGCTTTTCAAGGAGTTCATTGATCTTTAATGCACACAAATGACTTAAGCTATGGTTCATTAAAATTGCTATTTTTGTGCTATATAAATGACTGTGGCATCTTCGCCATAATCCTATATAGATAAGTATGATGTCTGATGTAACCAGGAGACTACCATTTCTTATATTTGTATAACCAGCGGTCTTATAGTGCCCGAAACTATTGTGTTCCGTAAATTGAATGAATGAGTAAATTAATAAGTCGGATTAATTACGTCGATTATGAAATGTTGACAACGTTTGTCAAGTCGGAGAATGAGACAACAGCGTTTAATAGAACAAGTAATATACTTCGCAGAATACTGGACATTTCAATGAAAAACACTTCGACTTGAAAAAACATGAGATATGTTGCAAACTCTGACATCTTACTTGGAACACTCTGACATCTTATTTGGAACGCTTACAACTACAACTAAATGTTATCATTGGGACATCAGTCACCCAGCACAATAACACCAAGTCATTTGAAAATGCATTTACAAAGGATTAAAGGTCACTTACCAGCTCGTTTCAGTTTGTCAGGTAACCTACTTTCTTATCTTTTATTGGTCATTGACCTGCATCACAATCTTAGATAATGCTAAGATCGTAGTGGTAACTCAGATCCCCTGTAAACTAGAAACTGTTAAATGGGGAACACACGGGTTGCGTCCTGATGTAAGCGACTGAACTATTAGAAAGTACGCTCGACTGTAGTTCCGTCTACCCCATCAACGCGAGCGACCTACATTGAATGTGTAACAGCTCTTTTTGTGAAGGATGAAGCTAGACTATGTCAAGTGTCAAGGACAGAGGTATACTGGAATACGTATTCAGCGGTCAGTGGGTTGTGACGACTAACAAAAAAACTTGCATTCTCAGTAATTTGTAAAGAGGAAGGAGGGCGATTGTATCTATCTTACCACTTTAGGAAAGTTAAATTGAATATCTCATGTTCAGCCTCAGATGATCATCTCACTCTGCTACCTTACCATCTTAATGAAAATATTAAGCCTGTGACGTTTTCTTGAAGTGAGGAAATAACTGCGTTTCAAGAATGTTGTGTGAAAAATGGAAACTTTTTTTGCCAAATCATACCTCAAATAAATAGTCGCCGTTCAGAAACTGAAACATATTGATCACAGTTGAAGGCAGTTAAAATTTAACGCTGCGTCAGCAATATTTCAGCTATGTACGACGAAACCGTGTCCCCACACATACACAATTCCATTGTAATTGTAAAGTAATATTTGAAAGCATTTATATATACACATACTATCATTGCAATATCAATTACATTTTACATTTAATACACGGGCTTTAGACAAAATATTTCATTTTTAAACACAGGCGTTTAGCACAGATTTAAAAGTCAGCAAAAAACTATTAGTTTGATGACAAATACCGATTACTTCAAGAAATTTATTTGGGGATGCCAGTTCACACGGGTAAACAGATCAGGTTTACGGCCAAGTTATCAAGCGAATTATGATAGAGAGTGGAGCATTCATCACAGGAGATTGTGAGCAATGGTTACATTGACAAAGTTTCGGCATTTGTGTTGACAGTGTTCTACCTAATAAGACATGACCATCTTTGAGATCCATTGCCTTATGTATTCTTCAAGGAAGGACGCTTTTTTAATAAAAGGGTAGTTTTTAGGTAGGATTTCTGAGGAAATAGTTCTCTGCTGTCTTCCTATTTTCCCAGCATGTTTACATCATTATTGAAACACGGTTTTCCTGTGTGCGTGATTGCTGATGATTTAGGAATGCTTTACTCTCCAATAGACTTCTGAACGTAAATGTATAGGGAAGGAACATTCCTGAAATTGTTAGGTTTTAGTTTTTCAGGACGCAGAGTTTGGACTATTGGCCTTGTTGAAGGTGGAATATGAGCAGTCAGTATTGTTGTGAAGTGGTTGCTCCCACGAAGATCATCATGGACAACCTTTCAAAGTCATTCAACATATAATTAGAATCCATAAGTTAATAAACGTCAAGAGCAGGGTATGTTGCACTGGCAAGATGTAGACAAGTAGCACGGTTCATTCTTCAA